CCACCGCTAGTTGGCGCAGCGAACGTCACAGTGAACGCCACAACATCAGCCCAGCATCACGTGTCTTACTCGTTCACTTTATGATTTGACATACGAGTAATTTGAGTTACGAGCTCCGTCACGGAACGAATTAAACTCGTAAGTCAAGGCCCCACTGTACTTAAGTGATGGATGGCCCTGAGGTGCTGTGTATGGTTTTCTGACAAGCAACTCAAGTGAAAAACAAGCCCACTGCTGTAACTGCCAAGACCTTCAAGGGCCAGGGCACTCCAAGCCTCGAGGATGCAGAAAATTGGCATGGAAAGCCAATGACAACAGAAAGAGCAGATGCAATTATCAAACTAATTGAGAGCCAGATAGAGACCTACAGACAGCTTGAACCAAAGCCCCCTGTTGAAGACTCACCTAAAATCAACATCACAGACATAGAGATGACCTCTCTGCCTGCTTGAAAGTCGGTGACAAGGTAGCTACTCACAAAGCATGTGGTTTGGCTCTGGCTAAGCTGGGCCATGCAAATGATAGAGTCATTGTGCTGGACAGTGACACCAAGAACTCCACCTTCTCCAAGATATTCAAGAAGGAGCACCAGGGTTAAAAATGGAACTCCCATTTGACCCAGTGATCCCACTTCTAGGAATACATCCCAAGAAGCCAGAAACACCAATCAGAAAGGATATATGCATCCCTATGTTCATAGCAGCACAATTTACCATAGCTAAGATTTGGAAACAGCCTAAGTGCCCATCAGCAGATGAGTGGATTAAAAAACTGTGGTACATCTACACAATGGAATACTGTGCTGCTCTAAAAAAGAAGGAATTTTACCATTTGCAACAACATGGATGGAACTGGAGAGCATTATGCTAAGTGAAATAACCCAGTCAATGAAATAAAAATACCACATGATCTCACTCATTTATGGCTAATAAAGACCATTATAGACTGATGAACAAAAATAGATACAGAGGCAAAGCAGCATCGAACAGACTGTCAAACTACAGCGGGAAGGCCGGGGAGGATTGGAAGGCGGGGGTAAGAGATCAACCAAAGGACTTGTATGTATGCATATAAGCATAACCAATGGACACAAGACACTGGGGGGTAGGGGAGGCCGGGGGAAGGTCAAGGGACAAAAAAAGGAGACATATGTACTACCCTTTATAATACTTTAAGCAATAAAACAAAATTTTTTAAAAAAAGAAGCACCAGGAATGCCTCATCAAATGTTTTATTGACGAGCAAAAAATGGTTAACGTGGTGAATGCCATCTGTGGTGAGACCATTGTTTAGCACCTTCGCTGCCTTTTAAACCTGAGCATTTGATCAGGTCTGGGTTGGAACCATCTCTCATACCAACATCCACATTATTGGGTCCCACTGCGGGCTATCCATTAGTGATGGTCCTGGAGGATTTGGTCATCTTCTGAGCAGTTCCCAACTGCACCATTTTCTATCAAGTGATGCAGACTGACAGAGCATGCTGTGGTCCTGGTGGCCAATACCAACGGGATATGCTACATTCAGACCAATGGACCCAAAACTGAGGTTATTTACACCCCACAAGAAAGTTTTGAGATTCGACAGGCCAAAGTCATTAGCCAGAGTGTCAACAATAAGGTCAGTCATTGGAGTTACTCTGCGTAAAGTCTTAGCAATTGTTGATGATCTTTCCAAACAAAATATCCAGTGACATGTGTACCATTAAATCCCTGGATGCTGACATCATCATCTCTAATGCAAAATGCACAGATGGCCAAATATTACAATAGGGGATCACCACCCAGAAGGTGGCATTGGGGAGGTCTGTTCAACTGCTTCTATGGAGCCTGGCATTCTGGTCCATGGGCTGGCAGTGCAAGGAGTTCCTCCAAGTGGGAAGTCTAGTGAACTTATGGATATGTTTGGAATTAGTGCCAAACACATTATAGTGGCTATGAAATGTATGTTAACAAACTAAAATACTGTTGACATCTCTACATTTATGCCTGTTAAACCATCATTTAAATCTATAATGTGTGTTCTTTGTTGTTCTTGAAAGCAAAGCAAGTTAACTACCTTCCAGTTAAGTCATAACTACATATACAAGTATAACTCTCATCTTTAAGTAATTAAAGTAGGTTATAAGATTTTAAGTGACAGAAGAGCTAACAAAACAACCACATAAAGTTTTATGATGAGACTATAGATATCTGGGCTGGGGATCAACATAGGGTTGCAGTTTCTTAAATGTGGGTATTTTCCTCCTAAGTAAAGAAGATGTGAACTGTAGACTGCAACTACCTGGGTTATGCAGCACTATAGCGCCATGCTGTATGTACTGTTGTCCCAGGTTGAGAATTTATGTGCTGACATCCTGCCTGCAGCTTCCTGGGTACCATGTAACTGCAGATGCCCTGGAATTTATCACCCTCTAATGGTGTGTGAAAGCTCTTAGATTGTCCTCTGCTGCTCGAGGTGACTAGTTTGAAGAGAAGATACAACTAGTTCTAGTCTCCACACTGCACTCTTTTGTGAGGTCTCAATGTCTCATTTGCCTGATGATCAGACCAAACTGTTAGCTCAATTATATTCATCTACTAGTTAAAGTTAATGAAGCATTTAAAAAAAAATCCAATTTAGAGTAATCCACTAGGACCATGGTCGGCAAACCACAAAATGCCACGTGCAGGCGCACATGTACAGTGCGATTGAAACTTCGTGGCCCATGTGCAAAAGTTGGTATTTTGTGGAAGAGCCAGTATTTTGTGGAAGAGCCACACTGAATGGGCCAAAGAGACACATGTGGCTTGCGAGCCGCAGTTTGCCGACCACGGCACTAGGAGAACCATAGCAAGGTCATACCATATCTAGTAAAGATCTATACACCATTCAAAAAGATGTTCTTACAGACTAATAGTCCTTGGTTGAGATGGAGTATCTGACCATGGGACATAAAGTAACTTTGCAGCCAGAGATAACCATCATGAGCTGGGTTCTGTCAGATCCAGCAAGTCCTAAGTTGGGTGGGCCCAGCAGCAATCCATCACAAAATGGATGTTGACAGATACAAGACTGGCCATAAGTAGGGCCAATGGACACAATAAAGTTGCATCAGCTGATGGCCCAGATCCCCATGTCATCTTGCCACTATTGTGCTGGTGTTTACAACTATGTGTGATCTGCCTAGACCAGAGTGGTTGCTAGCTGAGACTGAGGCAAATCTACAAGTGGTGGTAGAGAAGGGCACAAAGTCCCAATTACTTCAAGCTTGAGATCCACTGCAGCTGCAGCAACTGTAGTTTTCCCACTAACTTTCTTTTGTTTCCTCAGCAATAAAGACCAACCACAGTCCCGGGGTTGCTGGTGACTAGGTGGCGGGACTTACTGTAAGAAGCAAGTGGATCTGAGCATCACAAGGGCTGAACTATAACAGATACTCTGATGCTCCATGTATGCGTATCTCCTCTTCAGGCCCAGGGCCAAGGCGCCCATCCTCCAGCTGCTGCTATTTTCTAGTCAGAACTTTTATAGCCTTACCACAGATATAAACTGAGTTAAATCCTCAACCCACAACTAGAATGAACCTTAATAATTTGCTAAACCTTAAAATTAACACCTTAAGTTGAACTAAAAAAAGTAAAAACTCTTAGGCAACTAGTCCAAATTGGAATCAAACCAAGCCATAACATCAGGTTTTCTCAGATCTAAACCCAAACCGAAGTGCCAGACACTTTGCACATATAGCCCTGGGTAGACTCTCTGTGGCCTTAGCAGCTCTTGCTAATTAGAAGCACCTGACTTTCCCCCAGCAGTTTAGTAGATAAATGTCTTCCAAAGTGTGCTCCCACCTGAGGTTAGGGAAATTGGCTAGAATTTTAAAATTTTAACTTGCACTTAGTTATCTATTTGGTTCAGATGGGGAAGAAAATATGAGTTATTTTTCAAAAATTAATTCCATACCCCCCCCCCCAGCATCATACTCTCCAAGTCACATCATAAAAATAAGTGACACCTGGCTGTGGTTAATTGTGAAGCAAATCTCAGTTCTCACCTAATTCTCTAAATATAAGGAGTGAAATCTTAACCTCATTAACAATGAGATTGCCTCACAACTCAGACATAATCCTTGGGCTTCTCATTCCAAGAGGGTTGGGGAGGGAGCTCTTGCATTGTTGCTCACACAAGAGATAACAGGTCTGGGTGTAAGCCCCATGAGGGCAGGAGCCATGCATCTTTGTATTCAGTACATCACTTAGCACTGTTGCCTGGCACTCAGCCTACGATCAATAAATAGTGATTGAATGAATGAATGAGGCTGCAGAGGTCCACAAACCAGCCTGCTTGTTGGCATGCTTTGAGGGGACTTTGGCCAGGACATTTTGAAAATGTAGCTCAACCAAGCAAGAATGGGCTCTTTTCAAGTTCTATTCTGTCAAGACTACTGCCACTTTGTTCACACTTGGCATCGAAATCTAGCTGTGCTGCCAGCCACATCCACTGAACTCAAGTTAGCAGTACCTGAAATAGCTGTTCTTAGGACTTTAAAATGGTAGCAAAAAGAACCAGGTTCAAAGGAATGAACCCACACTATAGGATGATTTTTAGAGTTTATTAAACAGTATGAGCTTCAATACATATAATAAGAGAGAGGAAGAGGGAGAGAGAAAGGAAAGGAAAAGGAAAGAGAGAGGGAGAGGGAGAGGGAGGGAGAGAGAGAGAGAGAGAGAGAGAGAGAGAGAGAGAGAGAGAGAGAGAGAATGAATCAGGTTTTCCTGGGAATTTTGGGTGTTACACAGAGAGCCAGTGACCGGAAGTTGCTAGCTAAGTTGTCAATGACAGCTCTATAGAGGAATTAGTGGATTTTAGCTTCTGAGGTCCTGAGAATTGCCATGGTCCAGTTCTCCCTGAGGAATGTTTGGTTGTTCAACTTTCTTGGGTTCCATGAGCTACCCGAGTATCTTTCCAGCAATTTCACTTTTACTTAAATTTTATCCTATTGGTTTCTGTTATTTGCAAAGAGAAGGAAAGCATTTTAGAGGAAGAATGGTGGTGTCGCTGAGGAAGTGGTGAGGTGTGGGAAGGAAAGCTGAAAGGAGAGCTGGGGTGAAGGCTCTGAAAACAATCACCTTTCTACAGAGTCTGTATGGACCAGAGGCTGCCAACTGTCGACTGGAGCTCAGCAGAGGGCTGCCAGGGGCCACACTGAGTAGGTAAGATTGGTTTTTAAATATTCATTTCAAAAGCTGAATGTTTTCTTTGCCCTCTTCTCTGCTTGGGAAATCTCCCCTACAGTTCTGGCCGCAACCACTTGTTTTGAATCTCCCTCCCTCAGCTTTTCGTTATCCTCCAAGGTGCTAACTAACTACCAATAAAAGGGCTACCTGGTCTTCTCTTTGATTCCAAGATATTTCTTTGAATTATTAGCCTTTTTATTGAGCCCACGGAAGGAACTCAAACAGTAACTAATCCTTGTCCCGTTTCTTTCTCTTCCCAAGTATCTCATTGTGAGAATGTGGAAAGCAAATCCTGCCTCTGCTTCAAGCTATCTACTTAGATGAATTTATTGGATGCTAATCGAAAGAAAAGGCTAAACTAGGAAAAGGAAGAGTTGTGAGTTTAAGAAAACTACACCAAATTTATGAGGGAGGAGGGAAGGAAAAGAGGAATTTAGACATTTATTTGTAACATGTCTTACTGACAGTTAAATACAGTGGTTTGCTCTGTTTCTGCCACTTGAGGGTTATTTAATTAAATTCATGCCTAGGATGCTAACCAGCTCCACATCTAAAATAATTGCTTCTCTGTTGGTGAGATGTAAAGCCAGGATTGATTTTCCCCTGGCCAATAGCTCTTCTTTTCTGAGTCATGAATGTCATCTCCACTCTCCTCCCCACGTAATTTGATCTCTGTATTTGATCGCTATTTAGTAGTACACTTCGATAAACAGATGTCTCAGTAATTAAAATCCCATATGGGCAGACTCATCAGTGAGTTACATCTACTTAATAGTCAGCTTAGAAGACTTTTCACCCTTGGCTCTTCTCTTGTCTTGGTGTCATATGTCACCGGACTTTAGCAGGATTTAAATATTAGAGTTCAAACTTGTGTTTGTTTTCCTGCAACTCTCTTCTCATTTTCTGACTACATTTTCCTCACAAAGCCCTGATCTCTTTTCCCTTTAACTCACCTGGATTTTCTGTACAGTTTGCCAACAGCATTCAAATTCTCATTGGATGAATCATTCTATTTTTCATTCATGCCAGCACCCGCAATAATAAAAATAATAATAAAATCAGAACAGTGTTGTTAGAACCATGGATTAAGAGTGACTTTTATTTTTTTTCCCTGAGGCGTAACCAAATATTTCAATCTGAATGGTCCCTGATTTTTTCTTTTTAACTATTTGAGATCAAATACAGGTCACTGAAGGATTTTGATAGCAACAAATTATAGAAAGAAAGAAAGCATGTTTGGAGTAGGAAAAGGAAGTTAAAGTTAGAAAAGGCTTAGTTATGGAATTTACTCACTTTTGAGAGAGGATTTAGATGGAAATATATTAAAATGTTTATACCTAAAGAGATAATGTTCTTATGATAAATCTTATGATACCAATATTCCATTACATAAACTTGAGGTTAATGCTGTAACTTATAGTAATAAAAGAATTTCCCTTGCAGTTGATGATGCACGCTGATTTTAAGAACATTTAAAATAAGTAGATAATATATATATTTTTCTGATACCTATCAATTCAGACTTGAACAAAGATGGGATAAATGAGTGGGCAACAGTCATATAGCAAAAGGATTCGTTATTTTCCTACTTTTAAATGGATGGAGGTCCACTGCATTTAACATAGATCCTTTTATATAAATTTCTCAGAACAAGTATGTTTCCTGTGAATTCCTTTGAATTCACAATTTATTATGAAATAAAAAAATAATATTATGAAAAAGCAAACAACAAGTTCAGAAGTTAACTAGTACTATTTTAATTTTATGGAAGTAAATTCTATAAGTATTTGTGTAAACTTTATTATCTTGATTGTATTTAAAAACTAGGTGAAAATCCTTGTGGAATGAGAGCTTCATTTTGGTGGTTTAGACATTTCTAGCCTTGTTATCTAAACTAACAAAGGCCAGGTAAATAAACAGAGATATAAATTTAACAACAGGCTTCTTAGATAAACAATGACAGGGATGAGGAGTTAATATTTCAGGAAGGTAGCCTCTGAGTTCAACATGATGGGAATGTTGGGAATGTGTTGTTTTTCACAGCTTATCATCTAGCTTCATTACAGACCTGATGGCTCGTGAGCTGGAATAATTTTCACTCTCACCAAGCTCAGGATAACCCAGCCATGGGCAAACTATGGCCTGTGGGCCGGATCCAGCCCCTTTGAAATGAATAAAACTATTGAAAAAAAAGACCGTACCCTTTTATGTAATGATGTTTACTTTGAATTTATATTAGTTCACACAAACACTCCATCCATGCTTTTGTTCCGGCCCTCTGGTCCAGTTTAAGAACCCATTGTGGCCCTCGAGTCAAAAAGTTTGCCCACCCCTGGGATAACCCCTTCTTGTCTGTTTCCAGCTTTCTTCCCCTCCATGCCGCTTGTGGTTAATCCACTTTAGTTCAGGGCACATCTTTCTCTGACCCAAGCCTTTAAGCCTTGTTTTCCCCCCATTCATTCCTTATCACATGTTCATCCATGTTCTGCTGTCAGCTTCTTTCAGGTCACTAAATAAAAATTTTTTAGAAATTACTAATTCCCATACCCATTTTTGGCTTCCCACTGCCTTAGTATAAGTTGGGGAGAATATTCCTGACCTCCTGACAAAATTGTGAAGGTCAAAGGTGCTCTTGTGGATGAAAGGGCTTTCTTTATATATGGTGACATGTGACCAAGGAGTTTGGGCTCCAGCTCCAAGTATCTGGCTCAAATATAGCTTCTAGCATTTTCCTATCTGTCTGAACTTCAACAAACTATGTAACTTTTCTGTTTTTTGGTTTCCTAACGTGGAAAACAGAGGTCATAAAAGCACCTAAATCCTGGGTGATGGTTGTTTCGTGATGGTTACATGAGATCATTCATGCATGTTATAATGTCAGAACACGCTTAGAACAGTCCCCATGGTAAGTCCCAATAAGTGCTAGCACAATCCCATTGAGGTTAGCCAACTTCCTCACAGCTTCATGTCTCTCCAGCCTCTGGGACCTGTTCTCATTTGGGCATTTCAGAAAGCTAGGCTGTATTCCTCAGGTGTGGTCTGTGACAGCTAAGGATGGGAGTGGGGTGTAAGAGTCCTGGCTGAGGATTGGCAGGTACTTAAAAAAAAAATAAATGTTTTTTGTTGACTTTAGAGAGAGGGGGTGGGGGAGGGAGAGGGAGAGAGAGAGAGAAACATCGATGGGAATTGATTGACTGCTTTCTGCATGCTCCCTACTGGGGATTGAGCCCACAACCCCAGCATGTGCCCTGATTGAAGTCAAACTGGTGACCGGTGCATTGAGCCACACCAGTACTTTTAACAGTTGTCTCTATATTGTGTTTACTCTTCATAGCTTCCTCTGGTGATGACTTTATTTTGGATAAATTATGTTGCTATTCCAGTTTGTATTTAAAGTCACAAAAATATGTACTTTCTACTCTAGAAAATGGGGATAGTAAGAATACCTACCCCTGGGCTTACAATGAGCTAAATCAAGTGAACCTCTTCCAGAGGATCCAGGAAAGCACAATATTCTAGGGATGCTTTTGAAAAAGAAATTGAAGAAAAAGGAATTTGTAATACAAATATCATCTTGTACACATGAAATGAGGTGGAAACAAACAAAACAAAGCATACAGACAACAAAACCCTAGCATTCTAAAAGGGGACAAATGATTCTTCCAAATGAATGCTCTTCTTCAAAGTGCTTCCTTCTGAGTTTATGTCCACAATACAATGCTGCTGTTGCCTAAAAAGTGTTGGAATTTCTTCTTTGAAAAGACTCTTAAGGACCTTGGTGCAAATACTGACATTTTATTATATTTATGCAAATATCTACTTTGCAATTTATTCAATATTGTTTATAATTTTTTGACATACATAGGCTTATGGAGATATACCTGTGTGATTTCTTCCATTGTTTTGTGGTTCTTTCCCATCCAAGAATCACTGAAATATTCATTTATATTTCCTTTTAGTTCTTTCACAGTTTCATTTTCACATTTGCCTCTTTAATCTATCTGGAATGTATTTCAGTATATACTACAAAGTGAGCATCTGATCTGTCTTTTTTTTTTTCTCTCTCTCTGGTTTTCCTAGTACTAGTTATTGAATAATCCATATCCTCTTTATTGGTGATGCTTCTTCATTTATTGGTATGTTGAATTTTCTTTCACATAATGTCACTGGACTTTAGCAGGATTTAAATATTAGAGTTCAAACTTGTGTTTGTTTTCCTGCAACTCTCTTTTCATTTTCTGACTACATTTTCCTCACAAAGCCCTGATCTCTGACTATATCTATTCTGAAATATTAGTCTATCAATCTTTTTTTAGAAATTCAAAATAATTGTAATTATTGTGGGTTTATTATATCAGGTACAGTGAAACTCTGTTATTACTCTTCTGTTACAAAGCTATTCTGGCTACTCTCTCCTGTTTCTTCCTCTAAACGGAAATTAGTTTTTCAACATAAAAAGAATCCCATTGGAATTTTGGTTAAAATCAAAATAAAAGATAGATGTATCTCAGAGCATAACAGATTTTTCAATTTATTAAAATTTTTTTTGGCTTTTCCCCACCTGCCAGTAAGGTGCTTGGTCCTTCCAAGGAAGTTAAGGCCGAACTGGGGTGAGGCTCACTTCGTCCAGCGACCGCTCTCCTTCCACAGGGGCAGCGCTCACTCAGCCCACACCACTGCCTCCATCACGGAGCTTGCCTGCGTCTACTTGGCCCTTATCCTGCACGACCATGAAATGCTGGTGATGGAAAATAAGATCAATGCCCTCATTAAAGCAGTTGGTGTAAATGCTGAACCTTTCTGTCCAGGCTTGTTTGCAAAAGGTCTGGCCAATGTCAACATGGGGAGTCTCATCTGCAATGTAAGGCTGGTGGACCTGCCCCAGCAGCTAGTGCTGCACCAGCAGGAAGTCCTGCC